CATTTTTGTTTCTATTTATAGATTTGTGTAGGAGTGTTGTTCGAGCTGGAGGAATAATTTATTTGACTAGTTTAGCTTCATTTTCTGTTAGTGATTTCTTCATGAACTGACCGTGATTTTCTTCAAATGGAGTCATTATTCAACATTTATTTTCCAAATAGCTCCCATGGAAAATGGTGAGTCTTGTGGCTTGCTAGTGAGCAGTTTGTTTCAAATGTTTGAAATTCCAGCTCTGTTGGTCTATTTTGATTAGACATGTATCGCACTTCTCTTCTCTGGCCGGATGAGCATATTCCTTCAGGTCAGGTGCTAATCGGCTAAAAGTTAAAACATCACTTCAATGAATATTTGCTAATATTAGTTTAAAATTTACTGTTTCCACAACCAGCAGGCTGGTTTGCTGGAATGTTTACCAAAAGAAAACACAGACGGGGCATAAGCACATCAAACTGAACTTATTTAAAAATCAGCTAGACCATGCAGTGCCTTGCTGCCGAGCTTGGAGCCTCAGTGCTGTGCATAGTCTCATTGACTTAAAGTCACCACTCATGTTAGTGAGCTCTTTGCATGGTAGTGAAGGGACATGGCCTCTAGTTACAATTAAAGGGTAAATCTCCACTCCATTACACTGGCTTTGCACCAGAATTACACTGGCATAAAACTGGTGTGATGGTATGGAGAATGCAGTCCAAAGTTACTTATTGATATTGAATATTTTCTATTTGAAATGGCTATGTAGTGTCCTCCATCGATCTATATAAACTGTGGAAGTTTATAATAGAATTACTGTGGGCTTCATAGAGTGGGATGATGGGTTGGGCTAATTATTAGTTTGTCTCACATCTGTAGATGTACTTTTGAAATGTTACTACTGTCTAAAAATGTCTTTGTATTATAAAATAAGGAAGTGAAAATATAATTGAAAAATGTTTTTAATTCTCATAGCCATCTCTGAATGGCAAGAAGTAAAGGGAGTAATTCTGCAGCAAGGGAGATTTAGGTTGGATATTAGGAAAAACTTTTTAACTTTAAGGGTAATTAAGCTCTGGAATAGACTTTCCAGGGAGGTGGTGGAGTCCCCATCATTGGAAGCTTTAGACCAACCTTAACGGGGCGCTCTGTGGTTCACATAATATTTATGTAATCCCATATTTCAAAGTTCTGCACTTCTGTTGACAGTGCATGAGCCCTTTCATTTTCCTGTACCTGTATTGGTTCTTTGGTACCAACAGGAAGTAATGTTATTTTTGTTAGTAAGTCAGCAGATACACCTCTACCCTGATATAACGCAACCCGATATAACATGAATTCAGATGTAACGCGGTAAAGCAGTGCTCCGGCAGATCAAAGCAAGTTCGCTATAATGTGGTTTCACCTATAAAGTGGTAAGATTTTTTGGCTCCCGAGGACAGCATTACATCGGGGTAGAGGTGTATAACCCTGGGTACATGTAGCTAGCAAATGTGATGAATAAATTGCTGCTATTTTTATATAGTCACCTTTCTGACTATAACCTCATTTTTAGGCACCTTACATCCAAGGACACTGGGTTGATGGTTGTAACGTCAGTGGCCTAATTTTTAGCGCACACAACTTAAGTGGGAATTTTGGGTGCTCATCTTCTTAGAAATCATGTGGCCTGATTTTTCAGGATACTTTTTCATAGTCATTAAATTAATACTCACAAGTTAATTTGGCCCGAATACCGCAAAGAACATTGTCTCAAAGGGAGCTACACTCATGAGTAAAAGTTATGTACATGTATGCATGTTTCCAGGAACCAGGTCTGAGACTGCAAATTTAGGGTATTTTTTAAACAAGTAGTTTGAAAAACTACATTTCAGATTCATTTTTTTTGTTTGTTTTTTTATTTTAACTTTCCCTGTAGTTGTTTATGACCGAAACATCAGCATTGAACATGGTCACTGACAAGTGTGTACTTTTGGGTCAGTAAAAGCACATCCATACCATGCGCATCACTGTGTTATGTCATGCCCATGAATAGGCCGTCAACACCCTGCTTGGTTCCACGCTCCACTAACGCTGTAGTGTCCAGCAGAGCACTGAGCAAATATGCTGTACGGGGGGACGCTGCCCTATAGAAGAAATGAAGTCACCGGTACTGAGGGCTAGTCTACACTAGAAGTGCTACAGCAATGCAGCTACACCCTGTAGCGCGTCTGATGGAGAGAGCTCTCATGTTGGCATACTAAAGCCAGCTCCACAAGAGGCGGTAGCTGTGTTGGCGGGAGAGCGCTGTCCACACCGGCGCTTCAGTCACTCACTGTAAGTTATATTGCTCAGGGAGGTGCTTATTCACACCCCTGAGCGACATAAATTATACCTACATATCTTGTAGTGTAGACAAGCCCCAAGTTTCTGTTCAGAACCCAGCTGTTCCCTTTCATGAGTGTGTGTGTCCCATCCCTTTTGCCTGTGGCGAATCATATCTCTTCTGTGCCACTCCTCCTGGGGAAGGAGCAGACCCCGTTATGCCCATGAAGAGCTTTCTGCCAGAAGTCAGAATCTGCACCTGACTTGGGAATGTTGAAGAACTTCTGCTCTTGCAGAAAACCAAAGGGTGAGATGAAACAATAAACTGGTGGTTGGGGTGTTTTCTAAGGTGTATTAGAGGCAAAGTTAAATATTAAACTGATTTTTGAAAAAAATTGATTTTTGTGTTTGGAAGAGTTCCTTTGAATTAGTAATAATAACTAACAAGAGCTGACTCTACTGGAAAAGAATCACGAGATAATGATACATCCTCAAGGAAGCATGTGTGCACATGTATATTGATATAGATGTGGATAGATATAAAGATAGATATAGAGCGAGACAGGGAGAGTAATCCAGTTCCCCAAGTGGAAATACCCACTTGGATTTTTTCCCCTTTGAAAAAACAACTCTTTTCCTTTAAGTGTTTTAGTACTGAGATACTAAAAGAGAATTATTTGGTTAGGAGCAAAGACTTCATATGAAACAGTCAACATTATTATTATTACTATTATTTTAATTCTCATAAAAGTGACCAGGGTTCTGACCTTTTTTTGCCAAATTTCAGTTTGGAGCAGATTATTTCAGCTGAATAACAAACTCTTCAAAAACAACTTGAGAATGAAAAAGCTGGTAACACTGCACTACAGTTTAGTTTTCTTTTAAAATAACTTACTTGTGGCAAATATAGATACAGCAGGGGGGAAAAACCGAAGGTAAAACTTTTTTTTTTTTCTTAAAAAGTAAAGCATGTTAAACATATGATTATTTCCTACATATGAGACGCAGGTGGAAAGACACTTGTCTGTAGGACCTTGTTTTCCATTAAGAGTCCAGCTTTGTAAATTATTGTCAGCTGGCATGATAATGAGTCCATTTCAATATAAATGAGTTTCATTTTATTAATTTCTGCCAGCTCCTGAGCAATACATGAACTTCTTTTCAGCTCTCGACCAGCAGCTTGGGGGAGTGGGGAGTACGAGGGAGACATAAAGGAGAAGGAAGAAAATTAGAATTTTTTTAATTTAAAAAAGGAGTTGGTAACTCTCACTTCCTTTTGAGAATCCAGCCAAGCGAGGATAAAAATTTACTACCAAGTTGCTCTAACAACATGAAGGGCATCACTGACCTATTCTGAATTCATTGTTCTTGTAATCTTTTGAAAATATGTAAAACCCATGTAATAACTCTGTTTGCAATGCTTCTTGATGATCCACTTCTTTCATTTGCCTCTTCGCCTTGCAACTTGGCTGCATAAAGGAAATGTAATGACTTCAGGGCTTGATCCTGCAAAGCACTGAGTACCCAAAACTCCCACGGAATTTACAGTACTCAGCATCTCACAGGATTGGACCATAAGGGTACATCTGCTGCAGCTGGGAATGAGCTTTGCAACGTGGGAAGATGGACTCGTGCTAGCAGGGCTCGAGCTAGCGCGCTAAAAACAGCAGTATGGATGTTATGGCTCGAGCGACAACCCAACCCCCTGGTTCTGAGCTTGGGTAGCTAGCTTGAGTCTCCACTGGAGCTGCCATGTCCACACTGCTATTTTTAGCATGCTAGCGCAAGTCTATCTACCTAAGCGGGGAGGCTTGCTCCCAGCTGCAGTGTAGACATACGCTAGTGTCTAAGGAACATGTGGTAATGAACTTTTAAATGGCATCAGACCAAGGCACAGTCTAGGAGTTTGATCCTGCGCGCGTGTGTGCATGCACATACACACACACACACACACACACACAAAAGTAACTTCAGGTTTGTTCACCTGTGTAAGTGAGTGCAGCAGCATCTCCTAGTCTGTTCCTTTAGTGTGCATAGTTTACCTCACAATATACTCTGTGTGTGTAAATTTTCTGTAATCTCTGACTCCTTTCTAAAATTGTTCATTATACCAGTGCTTGTATTGCTGTCCATTTTAGTAAATTGTACAGATTGAACTATTGTTTTGTGTATTAAAAAAAAAAAAAAGTCAGGACCTCTTCCTTAACCTAATGGAAAGCCATCTTCAAGCAGAAAGAAATGCAAAATAGCCCTGCACAGAATTCTGAGGGGAGTGTTGAGTATCTTTTATGAGGGACCCTGTTTAATTGCTTTTCTCTCTCCCACCCCCTCAAAAACCAACCAATCAAAACTAGAAAACCCAATACAAATGTAATTTTTCTGAGCTGTCACTGAGACCCTCCAGTCCTGTATCCTTCTGTTTGCCCTCAGCAGTCTCTTGTCAATTTCTATAAGATTCTTTATTATAAAAAGTGGTAAGAAAATGAATGGAGTTCATACCCTCGGTTTGGCTTCATAAAGTGTTAGACTGAGGTTTTCAGTGATTCTGGTATTGTCAGATTTTATATATATATAATTTAAATACAGAATTTAAGCACTGTATTATATAATGTTTCTTAGGTAAGTGATGAAAATAGGATTTGGCAGAAAATGTCCTCCTTTCTAACCATTTTTGCTAATCCTTTGCCTATTTCTTCTCTCCCCCTGCCCCTGCTCTCTCTCACCAGGTTTTTGGCATATATTCATAGACTCTGACGAGACAATAATGGAGGCGCTGAGTGGCAGGTGCTGACAGATTCTGTGGTTCCAGTAACTGTTCATTTTGATATCATTTGCAATTCTATACATCTAAATGCCACAGTTCTCTTGGGGAAAGTTGCATTGGCTACCAATATTGCCTTGTAAGGTACGTGTGTGTCTATGTATTTTCTTTAGGAGTTTGCTGTGTTGTGTATTGTTTGTGGGAGGGGAGAATTTGGAGAAACTGCACGTTGTTTATAGTTTAGAATTTCTATCAAGCAGCTACTGATGACATCCTTTCCTCCCTCTCCCTCCTACCTCCCACTTCCTCACCCTGCTTTTGAGTTGCTTGCAGGGCCTTTTTGGAGTACATCCCATGCTTTAATATATTTAAAGTGGATTATAAAAAGAAATATCTGGCTAAAAAGCTCTTAATTCAAAACAATGAAATATCCCATTGCATTTTCTAAGAAACTCAAAGGTATAAGATTACTCTGGAACTTTAATCTCTTTTGGGGAAAAAAACCTTTTAATTGCCGTAAAATGTGTGTATTCCTTTTTAGTTACTATTCTAAATAGTTTTCTATGTGGGTTTTGCGAGTTGAGTAAAAATCTTTGTTGTTGGTTTGCAGAATTTAGTAAAAGTTCATTTCTGTAGAATAAGTTCTTGCTGTTGATTTTATCATTGTTCTGGTTCTCACAGCCTCCAAACTCAAACTCCAGGAGAAAAATAGAGTTTTGTTACCAAGACCTCCCACCAGAATCTAATTTTAAATTTGCAATCTGTTGTCTTGTGAGGTGCTTCAAATTTAACTTGGAAGTTAATAAATTTCATCCTTTCCTCTGTAATCTAAAAGTGCAGTTTATCAAAAACTTGCGAGCTATTAAGTTAGGTTTATTTTCTGTAATTGCTATCTTGAATATTTTATTGGAGAAAAGGAAGAAGAGGAGAGAAAGGAAAATTAGTGTATTGAGGAAAAAATAAAATTTGAAATGGGACTTCAGCCAGTTACATCGAGAAAATCCTCTTTCTACATAGCAATATTATATTTTAAACCAATTCAAGGAGAACTCAACAATTCTATTACAATTTTATTTCTTCATCTAAATCAGTTAGTTTACAGGTAGGATTGTTCTCCCAGAGGTTTATTGTAGAATGTATACTTTTTCCTTACTGATATTCTGTTTGTGCCATCAGTCTTAAGTATTATTTTTCCAAAATAATATATTTTTTTAAATTGTTACTTGTGACATGTTCTGTATGCCTCAATCTTTTGTTAGCTTTGGAAAATAAATTCAGAACAGATTTTTGACATGTTGCATCCCCGGACTCTGCTTTACAGCCATTTTTAAACATTGAGACAAGTTACCACTGATTTATGTGGCATCCTATTGCTACCTTGTACAGTGCTCAAATAGGCATCTTTTGATTCAGTTAATAAGATAACAATGGCAACTCTTTGTCTTCTCAATGTCTGTGTATAACTCCCATTAATATTACTCATGGTCTAATTTTGAGACAGGTTATTTTATGACTACTTCAAACACAGTTTATTCTGACCTGGCTCAGTCCTGCATACTCTTACTTAAGATCAGACCCTGCTCTGATTGAATTCAATGGGATTAGGAACAGGCCTATTTAAATCATCATTACTCACTTGAGCAGTGACTCAGGGCTAATCGCATAAGCAATGGTTTGCAGGATTTGGAGACTTTCATTGTTAAGTAAAACCCAAGTGTACATCAACTAAGAGACAATGGTCAACTCCTTACTTGGGAGCATGATTTTTCTTGTCAGTATCTAGCACATACTTTTCATCATGTGAAACAGGTTGGTAAACATTCCTGTGAATGTCTATGTTCATATTCCCAAGGATGTTAGTGCTAAGAAAACCATTATCGCAGGTGCTGAGTTTTTATCTGTGTAGAAAATGCATTCCTCTTTGCATGAAAGCATTTTGTAGCCATCTGTTTTACTCACCGAACACAGGCTTATCCTCTGTTTCTTTTCTTGGCAAAATTTTTTGTTTGTTTTAAATTTTGTATGATTGTGTCCATTAATGTTACATTGGGACTGTGGCACATAACGATCGTTTGCTGAACAGACAGAGTGCTGTGTATCCAGTTGTTCTGTTCATTGAGCAAGTGATGAGTTTGCTGGTCTCTGGGGGGCTGAGTCTTTGTACATTGAGTGGTGCTAAGAACTTTCTGGCCTTTCTGCAGATTTGTGTCTTTAGTTAGAGAGCTGCCCTTTTCAATCATGTTTTAAATGTAAAAATCCTTAATTCTTCTCAAAATGACATCAAAATGGTGGTTATCTTTCTTGATAATGGGGAAGATGACAGTGTAAAGATCTGCTTCTGCAGCCAGTGAAAATCCTTTTAAATGAAATTGTTGTTAGCAAGCGTTTTAAAGTCAGTGCAGCAAAAACCTTTCCCCTAGAGATTTCCTTCTACAAGCCTTAGAAGTGAGATCTGGTTTAGACCCAAGCTGCAAAGACAAAGGGCACCTTTCTGCTACCTGAGTTGCATTTCAAGGTTTTGGAAACAAAAGATAATGTAACTAACATTCATGTTCTGTCCTGACGAGATCAGAACAATCTAGAATAACACTTACTCTTAAGACTCAATTTAAATAATAAACCCTGTTCTTCAGCGGTTGATAACTCTATCATTTTAACATACATTGGGCTAAAGTTTGCTGAGTGCATTTGTTTTTCTAAACCATGGGTAAATCCCCGGCCTCATAGGGTCTGTCTACCCCGCAATTAAAAACCCGCAACTGGCCTGTGCCAGCTGGCTCAGGCTAAGGGGCTGGTTAATTGTGGTGTAGCTGCTCGGTTTGGGGCCTGGGCTCTAGGACCCTGTGAGGTGGGACAGTCTGGCTCAGGCTGCATAGAGGTCAATGGGAGCTTTGCCATTTACTTAAGTGAGTCTGGGATCTCACTCCGTGTGGTTTAATTCCCTTGGTCATATTTATGTCAGAGATGTCAGAATGTTTTAGGTAGTACCCATCCCCCTTTCTACCACACAGATTTTTAGCAAGTCATAACTAAAACGTGACATAACTATTAATCTAGTTAGTTGTATAGGGAAACTCAAAAGCATACTAGCTCCTATTTTGACCATTTACCAAAGTATTTGAAGAAAAAAAAAATACAACCCCACCACAAGTATTTGATACTACCTAAAGCAGAATTGTAAGTGTGAACATTTATCAGAATTGATTCAGTCCTTTCTGTGTAATCTATGTGAGGTTAAATAGGTTCTGTGCAGTAGCTGATATTGTATATTCAGATGGTTAATGCATATACACAATCATATTCATTCTATGAGCATCTGATTCGATAAAGTATGGCACATGCTTATAATGGAGAAACCCACTGTCCTTAGGAATAACCCCCCCGTCCCCGTTATCTTGCTTTCTAGACACCATTTACTGTTTTTCTCAAGTCTAATATAGCTGCCTCAAAACCAGAAAGTCTTTGCCCTGTGATCCCTCTTAAAGAATTGTGTTTTTTGTCTATATGTAAATAGTTGTACACCATTTTCTTTGTGTTTGTGTTTTTATTTTCATATTAAATTTTGTACGATTTTGTATTTTAATATATACTTGACTCTGCTCCTGGCCAAAACAGCTACTTTTCTTTTTTTATTTAAAACAGAGATTATTTATTTCATAATTTTGTATCTATGCTGCAAACAATGCTATTATCCAGTTACAATAATACTATAATTGTTCCTTTCTGGTCTTTCTTACTTATGTCAGTGTAATGCTGGTATAACTTCATTGACTTCACTGAGTTACACTAGCCTACATGAGAAATTAATAGGCTGTGTGGGGCAAATTCTTCCTTGGACTTATCAGCTGAATTACACCAAGAATGAATTTAGCTGTTTTTGCAAAAGCCCTTGCACAGAGGCATTGGTAGAACCTCCTACAAGATGCATCTGTTCTGTCCTTGTGAGTCTCAAGGAGCCTGGTTCCAACCCAGTTTAAGTAATTTTTAGCATTTTTGGAGAGGATGCTGAGTGGATATGACTCCTAACTCAGTTTTTGATGTCCAGCAAATGTCTTTACAAGTCTCATTACCAGCATGTCAAAATAAGATTTTTTTTTAAATGATTTTTTTTAAATACTTTAGTCATGTAACCTATACATTGGAATCCGAGTTACTGTTGTTATTTCTTATTCTACATATACTGAAAAACTGTGGTACAGTATTTTACATACTAAAAAGAACCCAAAGAAAACTAAATACAGTGGTATATTTAATTATTGTTGAGGCAAAATAATGGTCTAAAGCTTGCCTAGATGAAATAAAGCACACACCTAGGACTGATTTTTTTGGAGACTTTTATTAGGGATCTTCAACCCTGTTTCTTAAAGCACTGTGCAGGTATTTAGCTGCAAAATTTCCCCTTAGTCAGCAGGAGTCATGTAGCTACAACTCTACGTACGACTTTGAAAAGTCACCTGTAATGTTATTATAAAGTAACCTCGTCAAGGTTGTTAGACCTAGAAATTGACCTGCTTTCCTTGTGACTCCCTGACAGCACACCAGAGCATGTTCCCTGTGAGAGGGGATGGCTTGGAAGCACCAGTTTGCAGGATTCTGGGAACATTAGTGATCATTTTTCTCTTTCCTGGTGCAAGTATTGGCTTAAAAAAAATTTCAATCATTGGTACAAAGCATTAGAATGAGTTATGGGCCTCGATGAGGATCTCCTTAGAACAGTGCTTGTAGAATGTATTCCTCTGCAGAGTTGCATTTTGATGCCGTGGGTGCCAGTAGTGGTGTTGATAATTACAAATGTGGCTCCATTAGATTTTTTTTTTCAATAATATATGATGTTGCTCAAAGAGTAGAAATACAGAATCTCTCCCCTTTAACCATCTTCTGGTAGGAACCGAAATATACATAATTTTCTGTTCTTTTAGTGTAGAGCATAGGTTCTGACCCAGGGGGTCATGAACAGGTATCAGGAGGGTGCAACCACCCTGCAATTCCATATTGCCAAATGAGAGGGAGTCCTGCTTCAGTGGGAGGGGATTCTGGTATGAAAATTAGACTTTAATTTTTACAGTTTACATTATTGGCCAGTGTTGCATTGAGGATTAACTGATTTTAATAGATTTAATTGATGTGTGTAAAACTGAGATTACCAACTTACTTTCATTATAAATTGGCTAACACTCAAAGCTACATTCAGAGCCAGATTCTCCTCTGATCTACATTGATGCAACCCCTGGATTCAGTGAGTTACTCTTGATTTATACCAGGGTAACTGAGACCTTGGGTTCATACCTTGGAAAACTTCACTGGATTATATTTGAGTTCACAAGTGATGTTGCAAACTGATTACACTTTATTATTGATCATCACTGTCAAAATAATTCTTGTTAGTTGCAACACATGTTTCAGCAGATGTACATGGATCATAGATACATGATGACGTATCTTTTAGCACTACTTCTGGATGAGAGGGTCTAGATTCCTTTTAAAAAACAGTCTCTTTCCTTTGTACAATCCATGGGCGCTACTGACAGGCATATTATATATATTGATACATATATTAGTTGAAAGTTTAATATTTCCCGTTCTTTAATCTTGCAGACCTTAAAACCATGGGAAACGCGGAAAGCCAAAATGTAGAGCATGCATTGTATGGAGACAAGCACGCCAGTCTGGGACGGAAGCACACATCACGCTCACTTCGCCTTTCAAATAAAACTTCTCGACGGACCAGGCATGCTTCTTCAGGGAAGGTTATCCACAGGAACTCAGAAGTGAGCACCCGATCTAGCAGTACTCCTAGCATCCCCCAGTCACTGGCAGAAAATGGCCTGGAGCCTTTTAACCAAGAAGCCAATTTAGAGGACTTTGGAAGCCCCATTTGGGTGGACAGAGTGGATATGGGCTTAAGGCCTGTTTCTTACCACACCGATTCTTCTGTTACTCCGAGCGTGGACAGCAGCACAGTTCACACGGCAGCCTCAGTGCAGAGCATGCCAGACACAGAAGAAAGCAGACTTTATGGGGATGACACTACATTTTTGGCTGAAGAAGATGGCAGACAGCATCGATATTCAACAAACGGGACAACTTTCATGGAAACTGCAAGCTTCAAGAAAAAGCGTTCAAAATCTGCAGATATCTGGCGGGAGGATAGCTTGGAATTTTCGCTCTCTGACCTCAGCCAAGAACATTTAACAAGCAATGAAGAAATCTTAGGTTCAGCTGAGGAGAAGGATGGTGAGGGGATTCGAGGCACAGAAGCAAGCAACAGTCCCCAGCAGCTGGTCACCTGCCAACGTGCCAATTCTATGAGTGACTTGTATTCTCCAAAAAACTCAGGTGCTACAATAAATGGAGGCCCACGAAACACCTTTGGGGCTTATTGTCGGAACTTAGTGTCCGATATTCCAGATATTGGAAACCATAAGATGGCGTCAGCTACAGCAGAGGATACTCCTTCCTACAGTAATTATAATACACTCCCCTGTAGGAAATCTCACTGCCTTTCAGAAGGTGCCACCAACCTACAAATCAGCCACAGCAACAGCATGCAAGGCCGAAGGGCAAAAACTGCTCAGGTAATGCAGTTTTACTCTATTCCATTTAAACTTTTGAAACTCTTTTTTAAGTGCATGAATTTGCTAAACAGAAACAATGTTCTTTATTTAGATCATGGTCACAGATGTTTTAAGTAGGCTGTGGTATACTGGCAGCTGGATGTATGTTCTGTTTCCCTCCATATTCCTCTTTTTAAATAAGGGGGGAGTGGAACAAGTGCCTTCAGGAATGGGTGTACTTTCATGAATGGTCTGTTCATAACTCACAGCTCCATTTCAATCACGGTGGGGGGGTTTTCCACTCCTTCGAGTCATTTCTCTCTGGGAAGGAGAAATCTGCAGTTTGCAGAGAGATAGGAAGATTATTCTGTTTATTTGGTGGTGCTTTTAGGGTATCTGGTCAGAGCTTGGTCTCTTACCATTTCTCTCATGGAACTCAAGTGCATCATCCCCATGTCACACTTTAGCTATAATGGCCAGGAGCAAAAGAGGATCCTGAGGTCCATCCCACCCTTCCATGTTCCAATGCTGCTTCCAAGCCCCTCGCCAACCTGATGGGAAGTACTGAGAATTCACCCTTGCCCCTCCCCAACCCCCATCCATCAAAATTGCCCTTGGATTGAAGCTCCCCCTCTACTTCCATTGATCTAAATGCCTGAATTTCAAAGCCCTGCAAAACATCACTCAGAAAACAGTGCTCTTCAATGGGAAGAGATTGGGAGTCCTGCAGGCACTTGGTCTGCTTGTACTCATCTATCAGGGATTGATAGCAGTTTCAGGTACCTAAAAGGGTGTCATAAGGAGTAGGGAGAAAACTTGTTGGCTTAAACTGCGGCAAGGGAGGTCTAGGTTGGACATTAGGAAAAAGTTCCTAACTGTCAGGGTGGTTAAACCCTGGAATAAATTGCCTAGGGAGGTTGTGGAATCTCCATCTCTGGA